CGGCGAGGATTGCACCGCGTTATAAAAAAGAAAAAAAAACTATGGGAGAGCCATGCTTCGGCACGAATGGGCCGGCTCGATCGACGTGAAACAACGCTTTTTATCTCTGAATTATAGGTAAAGGTACTCCTTTACATTAAATATACAAAAATTTCACATCTATAACATTAGTAGGATTAGTTTCTTCAAAGAAAGTAAAGAGCTAAATTCTTCTTCTGGTCCTTATCCGAAGCTACTTGGGGTGGGCGCAATTCTCAGTGTTCTTTTCCACTCTACCCTGTCAGACGTATCATAGTGGATTAACTAGCTGACTTGAAGTCATTCATTCATTGCGCATGCTCATTATCTCATTTCCTCATGCCGAAACAATGTAAAAATTGTTTAACTTTTGATTACAGTTTACAACTCGACGTGAAATACGACGCCATTGCAAATTACGCAGCATTATTTAACGGTTTTACTGGCTTGCTTTTTTTAAATATCGACCTGTTTCTTCTTCTCTCTCTCTCATTACCACGCCTCTTACCCCCGAAGGGGTAGGCAAAGGTGCACATTACGGCTTAATACTATTGTACACTATAACACCCACTTTTCACTATTTATGTTATGAGTCCCATATAAAAGGGGTGAGCATATTGCTATATACTGGGCACGATTCCAGACTCCGTGCTACTACTGAGGATGTTTTAAAAACCCAGTAATTCTTTGTCCGACCCGGTTGCCCGGCAGTTGCACTTGCGACCACTCGGCCAACGAGGCAGTCATGTTTCATCTTCTTTTTAAAAAGAGTGTGTTTGTGTTGCTTCACAACATTAGATGTATTATTTTAATCTGCCATAAAAAGTCACCTACTTCTAATATGAGCCTACATTCCAATAGTCCGTATGTAATGTCTATAAAAATATATAATAAGCTACCAGAAGCCCTAAAGGAAGAACCCAGAAATATAAAATTTACTAATAAATTAAAACAAATACTCATAAATAAAGCATATTATAATATTAAAGAATATATTAATGATAAAGATTTAAAATAAATACTGTAATTAAAAATTAAATATATGTACGACATATATAATATTAAGGATTAAATCACCTATTACAATACACATATTTAAATATATAACGTAAAAAAATATTAAAATAAATGTTTAATATATAAATATATAAACCTACATAGAATATATAAGTACATTTATAAAAAATTTCATAAATAATACTAATAGCATTACAAAATAAATTGAATAAAGCAACTACTTATAACTAGTAATAAAAAATCTGCGATACATAATCTAAATAAAATTAGCGTCCTCCTCTCTTCTACGTTGCCGTGCCCTACAGGGTCCATACTGTACTATATTATTATGTAACACCTTTTAAACATATGGAGTGCAATAAACGTATTGAGTATTGAGTATTGAAAAGAGTACAGCTGGAAGAAAGTCACGTTATTTCTTATTGAAGTACAATCCTTATTCTATACGTTCCTAATTGCAGCATAAAATAAAGTACCTTAATGAACTTACCCGGACAAAAGGGTTCTTCTTTGGTAGTTCATGGTCGACTTCATCCCTGGACTCGTCATCATCCGCGGAGTTAACCCTCACGCAGGTTTTATGAATAGTCTGCGGGTCATCCATACCCACCACTCATTATACACATACACTACACTACACTCTCATCCACTGTGACATCCACTAAACAACAACAATTTCCAAATATATTCCAACTTCAAATTTTATTTTGTTACTTTTTAATTTTTGGAATTTTCTTCACTTTACACACTTTTATATTTGGAATTTTAGTTTTGAACTTTTATTTATTTTGGTTTTTTTTTAAGAAGCGTCCGGCCAGCGTGCTTGGTGTACCTGTAATCATAAGAATTGTAGATTAATTACGAAACTAGAGATAATGAGTAATACTGGTTAAATATTGATGTCACTACGACCGACTTAGAATGTTTGTTTGTAGATAATAACGAAGTAATCTTGAGATACTAGCTTTGTTTGTGTTTCTTAACCGTGAATTTTTTATCTTGAAGTTTTTCTGCGTTCATTGAAGATTTATGCCGTTTTCAAAGATGCTTGCCCTTTTATGATTAGCACAAATACATAATAGAATCAGGCATTGCTTTACGTAAATTTTAATTTAATCTTTTTGCAAACAGAGTGAGACCTTTCAAATTTGTTTATGTCTAGCTATCGGGAAAAAGGGCTAGTCGTATAGACCTCTTTTAACCTACCCTGGTGGCAGATACCTTAAACAAAATAAGGGAATACTAGGTTCAGTAAAATAGTAGTCCAGCTTCAGAGCTCTCACTATTTAACTCCTATTACGTCATATTCCTAACTTTTGAAGATAGGTTTTGATATCTATTTAGAAAATCAATATTTACTAAAATTATTACAGTTTTGATTGTCTAAATTCTCGAGCGATGTGATGTGTAAGGCTAATTTTAGTCTCACGCTGACCGTCAGCGCATAGTTTGACAGACGAAGACGACGACCAAGCCTTCATGTCTTCATGGTCCATCAGCGCTGACCGACACACGCGATATTCTAAAACGCCATAAAGAACTTCATACGTATCGGCTGTCAGCGCAAACGATCAGCGTGCGGTCAGCGTGACTCTAAAGCCATATAGTTATAATATTTATGTCATAGTACCTAGTACAGTTCATTGGTATCAAACAGCATCCTATACTATATTACAATTCATAGTTAATGTTTATAAATAATCTGAAGTAACAATAGTATGTATTGCGGAGTTCCCAAATAATTACGTGTCATGGCGTCTCTTAGTGTTGTCTTAACAATAACATTACGTAACGAGAGACACTTTGAGAATTAGGTTTCGGAACACCATTAAAATTACTGTGGAAGTATTATCTTCATGAATGCTTTTTTGTGTTTCTCGTTGATATAATATTATGTTGAATTCACTGCTGTGTATATAGTTAGAAATGCGCCTTACCTACCGCTAGCACTTGTAGTCGATTAAGAGGCGAGCATTGGAAATTGTAAGCCCTGTAGAACGGATAAGCCGGTAAACGAACAGACGGATCACCTGAAGGTAAGCAATCGGCGCCGCCCATGGACATACCCAAAACACCAGAGTCGTTACAAGTGCGTTACTGGCCTTTATGGATTAGTAATTTGAGGATTGTTGAGGGTTCGGAGATTGGGAAGGGGGTAATTGGGCCTCCGGTACACTGAAACGACGAACACAACGCAATTACTAACATGTATATTATAACGTTGAAATGGCTGTGATAAACTATGATACTATTTAAAAGCATTTCCCATTTATTGCACAATTACTACCCTTTTTAATTTAACAGATCATTTAGTTCTTTATGACGTTTCAAAAGTGCCTAACTACTGATTAATTGAAATAAATGCTTTGACAATGATTTTGAATTAATAATAATAATAAATAAAATTTATTTTCAAACATAATAGTCTAGAAATGTACAGTTTTGCTTAAAGCTAAATAAAGTTCACAATATAAGGTTCCTGAACTAGGAAATCCTGTGTTTCAGGCGAGTCAGAAAACGTCAAATTGTATGCATAGTCAGAATTTCGAATACTTTAAACGTCAAAAAACTAAACTTTACAGTATATTTGCCGACCTGGGGAAAGAGCCTCATGTTTGAAAAATCACTGTCAAACGGGGCACATATCTACATTAAAATATTAATTACATATGTATGATAGCACTTCGTCTCAAAATTACTCTTGCATGCTAATTTCATGTCAATTATCTCGAAAACTGCTGTAACGTAAAAGATTACCTTTTGTCCGTGGTTCACTTTGCATAACAATAGTTTGGTAGAAAATGTATCTACGTCGTTGCTGACGTACATACATACATACATTATGAGCAATTTTTATAGATTTGACGTATATTGGAAATGTTTTTTGTTGAATTTTTTTGATTGACCAAGTAGTTTTTTCAAGAAAGAGGTTTTTATTCTATATGGTATTGTGGGTATTTATGGGCGACATTGATTGCTAATTATTAGTTGACTAGCTAACCCGCCCCGGCTTCGCACGGGTGCAATATGCATGTATTATACATACAAACCTTCCTTAAGAATCACTCTATCTATTAAAAAAAACCGCATCAAAATCCGTTGCGTAGTTTTAAAGATCTAAGCATACATACGGACATACAGCGAAAGCGACTTTGTTTTATACTATGTATATTGATTGATTTGATTTCTCGTTTGATCGTCTAACCTATGCTTTTTTGCGGTGGGAAAATCATCCAATGACTTCTCCCGCCTGAGTGAGCCGGGAGGGAGTGTCAGACTCTTACTGACTAAAAACCAACTCGTTCCTACTTCGAGCCAGAGCCCCGGTAACCTATGCTGTTATTTCAACTTTTGGGCTGCTTGATGGGGCGACCTTAGTTTTAATACAGTTACAATACTTCTTTTTTTTAAGGGGGGAAAATCATAGAATGCCTTCTCTCGCCTGGGTAAGGCGGCTCTTCCGCGGCTCCGTATTGGCATCAGCCCTATTGGGCTCCATCCCTGGTGGTCTGATAGCTCTTTGAGGCGCGGAACGCGACGCGCCGTAACGGTTACAATGCGAGAGGCCTCATAAGTGCTCTGTGAATCATATAGGATATTGTTTAACTCCACCACCGTCTTTGGGAACTTAGATATTTTTTTCGTATCACTTAAATTAGAACGGTCCCGGTATGAGCACTGGACAATGAATCACAAAACAAAATACGTTTGATGTTCTAGTACATCCGTACTTCAATGCTGTCAGTCAAACAGACAAAATTCATTCAACATTTATTGACAAACAGAACAACTGCGCCATCGCCGACAAACGTATTTACAAACATACATACAGACAAATATCCGTTACATACATTCATGCAAACTTTGGTTCATTTCCTTGTCTTTAATATAGCAGTGTGTCTGTTATGACCTTAAGGAGCAGGCAGAGGAGTCGGTATATGGTTTGAAGTATTTGGGTTTATCAAATAGATATGACAACGAATGAAGTACGAACAATAATGCGATTTAATTGCTTGAATGCACCGATATTAGACACAATAAAAAATACATTGCGTCTCGCGTGGATCCCCGTTTAGACAAGAGAACGAAAAGACGAAAGAAAAGAGATCCCTTCACCGGACACCGCCGAAGGATGAAATGACAAATGGTTGCTGAAAATTCTGAAACAACTATCCTGTAAGGTGAAATAAAATTACCATATTTATCTAACCTCTGCAGATGACTACAAGAAGTTCCACGACATAAGGTCGGAGCAGGAGTAGGAACTAAGTGGTGGTCAATGAAAGGTCTGACACCCCCTCTCGCCTCACCTAAGTCAGGTTGGGTCATTTGATGATCGGTCCCTCCCCTCAAAAAGCAGTGATATCTTAAAAGACAGAACAATAATAAATGTTGTTTTAACAATATAGAAAACTAGCTACTTTCGCGCGGTTTCACTCGCTCTGCTCGGCGCCTATTATTCATAGCGTGATGTTTTATAGCCTATATACTGTAAATGGGCTATAATAAGAATTTTTCAAATCGTACCAGTAGTTTCGGAGATTAGCGCATTCAAACAAACAAACAAAAAAACAAACTCTTCAGCTTTATAATATTATAGTATAGATAAGTGGTATATATAAGTAGAAATCGTGATATTCCAAATACATGCAAGGTATGCAGGTACACTAATCATCGTTAATATTCGGAAGGGCGCTGCGATTCTTTGAACAAGCTATCAAAAGGTTTACTCATGTTCAAAGTATGCATCAAAGGGGATTTTATATATTGACTCATTATCATTTTTCGAAAAACAATTTGTGTACAGGTAGTCTGCACCCTGGTCTAAACTTAGATAGTCTGTGTTATTGTTGTGTTTAAGGGTTATTTTTGCATGACATGACTGACTCATAAACATCAGTATGTTTGTTTAGTAATAGTGCAAAGTGCTGATTAATTTTGTATTGTGTTTCGGCGAAATTTTGTGACTTAGGTATTAAAGTGGTTTATTTGAGTTTTATGCAGTTTAAATGATACAGGTTTATCAGAGAGTGCTATAGCCCCCTCGGGGCTTACTCTTGAATCAAATTCCGATCGATCGACATTGACAGTGACTTGACTCTACTCGTGAGTTGCAACACTAGCGCCCATAGCACCCGTATTGCGTGGATATTGAATAAACAAAATGGTATTGAGTTGGGCTATATATTCCGTACTCCGAATGCCATTTTAACAGCTACGATAGGGGTTGTATAGTTTTAACATTGAATAATGATTGGATTGAAATTGTCATTGACATTGAGATTGGTTTCAAGAATAAGAACCCTCGGCTCTGTCAAATGCGTAATCCCTTAGTCGGCTCTTATTAAACCTACGGGAAGGTGGCTAGAGCTGGTTACAATTGTATCTACTCTTAAGTAGTCTTGCCGTCACTACACTGTGCAAACCATACATGTTATACATGACACCACAGAAAGCAACTCATTGTAAGATTTGCATATAAGAGAAAGGTGCTACAAAGTGTACTAGAACAACATAGTCACATTACTTACTGCTCGTCATAGTTGTAGAGATTATGCTACCTTGTTCTTTAAATGTCTGCCTCATTGGCCGAGTGGTCGGGGGTGGGGGATTCAGGGAATAGGGGGGGGGGTAATTGGGCCTTCGGAAATTTAACTCACACGACGAAACACAACGCAAGCGTTGTTTTACTTCGGTTTTCTGCTCGGCAGTGGTATAACACCGGTCGACCCATTTGTGCCGAAGCATGGCTCTCCCACACTCTTCCACAACTTAGTTATTAAGTAGTATAATCTCAATCCGAGCTGCGGGGATGACCTAGTTAGTTACCGT